TCTAGTTCTCTAGTTCTCTAGTTCTCTAGTTGGGGGGGGGTGTCAAGAAAACCCCTGTGAATTGGTGATTGATTGATAAAATATTTGAGGAATTTGATGAAAACTATTGTTTGTTGAAACAATAGAATAAGTTAATACAATCCCGATGATAAAGTAACTAAAACTTGAATCAATAATTCTTAAAAGTTCACTTTTCACGAGAAAGCAAATTTACATTTTTAAATTTTTTAATTTCGCTGATTTGGTAAAATAAACGGTTTAAATATAAACTATTGAATGAAAAAAAACTAAACGTTTGAAGTCTAATTCCCCCCCCCCCTTTTTCTGCATAATTCACCCGTTTTAAATTAAGCAGATATTCAGTTATTTATTATACAAGTTTTTAATCCTCTGAAATGTAGACACGTTGTCAATTTTATTTATTTTGAAATAATCTGCGGCTATTTAATTAAAGCTACTGATTTTAATGATTCAAAATCTGTAAACGATCCTTTTGAGCCACCCCCCCCCCATCCCCTCCTCTCAAAAATGAACATTTTGTAATTTTTTTTTTCAGGTTGAACTTTTCAGGAATGAACGTTCTATCTTATTTTTTGGTTCTTTACACAGATAATTCCTAACTAATATATTTTAGGTTCCTAACACTTCTAAAACATCCTAACTGTTTTTTTGTCCCTAACACGGCTGTAGCATCTAAACTATTATATTTAAGGTTCCTAACTCGACTAAAACGTCCTAACTGTTAAGTTCCTAACACGACTGAAACATCCTATCCTATCTATTATACTCTAGGTTCCTAACACGGCTAAAAGCATCATAACTGTTATATTTTAGGTTCCAAACACGGCTAAACATCCTAGCGGTTATATTTTGGGTTTCCAACACGGCTGAATCATCTAAACTAATATATTTTAAGTTTATATCACGGCTAAACATCATAACTTATATTTTAGGTTTCTAACACGGCTAAAAGCATCATAACTGTTATATTTTAGGTTCCTAACACGGCTAAACATCCTAACTGTTATATTTTAGGTTCATAACACGGCTGAACATCATAACTTATATTTTAGGTTCCTAACACGGCTAAGCATCATAACTGTTATATTTTAGGTTCCTAACATGGTTAAAACATCCCAACTAACATATTTTAGGTTCTTCGCTGCTAAAACTTCGTAACTGTTATCTTTTAGGTTCTTAACATGGCTGAAACATCCTAACTGTTATATTTTAGGTTCCTAACACGGCTGAAACATCCTAACTTTTATATTTTAGGTTCCTAACACTGCTGAAACATCCTAAATTTATATTTTAGGTTCCTAACACTACTGAAACATCCTAACTTTTATATTTTAGGTTCCTAACACGGCTGAAACATCCTAACTGTATCAAATACCACGGCTGCTACCTCAAGGAACAAACCGTCTGGGTAAAAATTTTTATCCTTATTTTTTAAATAAAAATTTATGTTCACCACTTTGGGATGCAAAAAGACAAAACGAAAATTTTTTTTCTTCTGTGAAATTCATGATCTGTATGGATATGGGGGGGGAGTATCGATATCTCGAGTTGGGGGTCTTTTCAGACCTTTTTCATATATTGATGTATTTTGTTTAGCTTGTTATGGAATACTGTCTCGGGTCTACATCAGATATTATTGAAGTTCATAAGGAACCTCTTCTAGAGGAAGAAATATCTGCCATTTGCTCAGGTCAGTTCGGTTTGACCGGCGCGGCGGAGGTCACGTGATGTCCGGGGAGCACTTGGTGGTTGTGATGACCGGGGGGGAATTTGGTTCTTATGCTATGTCCAGGGAGCACTTGGTGGTCACGTGATGACCGGGGGTATTTGGTTGTTTTATGATGTCCGGGGTGCACTTTTGCAGGGTGGCCAAAATGTACGGATTGTACGGATTTTTTATTTTGTAACCCTATAATTGTACGGATTGTACGGATTTTTTTCAAATTGTACGGATTTTTATCCTGGAAATACACCGGGTTTTTTTTTAATTTTCACTCAGTTCAGCAAATTTTTCATGCAAAATATTTTTCATGAAAAATACAAAAAAAAATTCTCGTCAAAATGAAGTTAGTTTTACTTATTTCTTCATTCTTAATAATATTAGATTGATTAATGTTTCAATTGACAATAAAAATTCATTCATAATTTTCAAGATCCCAGAAGTGTTAATTTGAGAATATGTTCCAGAAGTGTTCATTTGAGATATGTTTATCTATCTGTCTAGCTATCTGTCTAGCTAACTGTCTATCTATCTGTCTAGCTATCTGTCTATCTATCTGTCTAGCTATCTGTCTAGCTATCTGTCTAGCTATCTTTCTATCTATCTGTCTAGCTATCTGTCTATCCATCTGTCTAGCGAACTGTTAAGCTATCTGTCTAGCTATCTTTCTAGCTATCTGTCTAGCTATATGTCTAGCTATATGTCTAGCTATAAGTCTAGCTATCTGTCTATCCATTTGTATATCTATCTGCATGTCAGTTTATCTATCGTTTTATCTATCTGTTAATATGTCCTATCTTTCTCTCTGTTTATCTATGTTTCTCTGTCTATTTCTCTGTCTATCTATCTGTCTGTTTGTTTATCTATCTGTCTGAGGTCTCTTTATCAGATCTGTGAACATCCTCTCAGGTTTCTTCCGTTTATCTGTAAATCTTTTCATTTTTAGTTTAATATTAACTTTCTTTTAATTGAGTGTGCAAACCCTGTACCACGCTAATTTTAATTATATTAGATCCTAAATCTACACTCCACTCTTTCTAATTATAATTTAATCGTTTGTTTGTTAAATGGCCTAATTTTCACATCGATCTAAACAGTTTTAAAAATTAGAATCAACGCTCTTTAGTTCTCTAGCTCTCTGGTTCTCTGGTTCTCTGGTTCTCTGGTTCTCTGGTTCTCTGGTTCTCTGGTTCTCTGGTTCTCTGGTTTTCTGGTTCTCTAGTTCTCTAGTTCTCTAGTTCTCTAGTTCTCTGGTTCTGAGGTTTTCTTATTCTCTGGTTCTCTAGTTCTCTTTTATATAGTTCTCTAGTTCTCTGGTTCTCTGGTTTTCTGATTCTCTGGTTCTCTAGTTCTCTAGTTCTCTAGTTTTCTAGTTCTCTAGTATCTAGTTCTCTAGTTCTCTGGTTCTCTGGTTCTCTGGTTCTCTAGTTCTATAGTTCTATAGTTCTATAGTTCTATAGTTCTATAGTTCTATAGTTCTATAGTTCTATAGTTCTCTAGTTCTCTAGTTCTCTAGTTCTCTAGTTCTCTAGTTCTCTAGCTTTCTAGCTCTCTAGTTCTCTAGTTCTCTGGATTGTTCGGATTTCTTCTGAAAATGTTCGGATTTTTGTACGGATTTGTTCCAAAAAGTTTTGGTCACCCTGCTTTTGTCATGTGATGACCGAGGAGCACTTTGTTGTCACGTGATGAGCTGGGTGCGTTTTTTTAAGATGATGACCGCGTTAATTTTTAACGTTCTGACTCCGGGGATGGTCTTTAGGGGGTGTTACGACGATCGGAGTGTGTTCGAGTATGAACCAGAATGGATTGGTTGTTTGGGGTCATCGGTCAAATCTGGGTTGCTCATTGACCGGCTATGGGGTTTAAATTATGTTCAGTTTTAGATGATTTCCTATGTACTCGCAGAAAACTAAATAATGTTGATTTCAGGTTGTATAAATGGTCTTCATTATCTTCATCATCAGGGAAGGATACATAGGTAAGACGATGATATCATTATTTTGAATTGGTTTGATTGATTAAGTAATTAATTTACTTACAAATATTGATTGATTTATCGGGTTTTTTTTTCAATTGATTTCATACTTACTTATTTGCAAAAGGGGATGGTGGAGTTGGCACATTTGATGTAGGGGGGGGGGGCCCTGCCTTCATTTTTGGTTCAAATCTTCCAATTTTTTGGATGCACGCCTAATTAGGGTTCGAAATTCCTATAATAAAATCAAATTGAACTTTAATGACCTCTAATGACCTCTAATGACCTCTAATGACCTCCACAAATAGAAAATATTTCAACTATGGCTTGATGCATATCAAACGAAAGAGAAAAATCAAAGCAGATGATAAACAGTGGTTAGGATCCGGATTCGATGGATCTGCAATATTTTGACCTCATAGATCCGGATCCATCAAAATATGGGGATCCCCGGATCCAAGGGGCAAAATATCAACCAAAAATCCTTAGCTCCTAAAACCCAAGTCTGAACTGTTGTATAAACGATAAATTATCAAAAATTGTCCTGAACTCTGAATGGTTTGTTAAGTTTTAGCTTTAAAACACGAAATTTTGTTTTGAAAATTCTTATTTTGTCAATAAATCAGGAAATCATAAAGAAATATGCATGACCTGGTTTAATGTAGACAGAGTTCATATTAGTACTTAATCTTCTAAATTGTAGTATACGGAGCGTCCCAAATCATATTAGATTATCTTCAAGCTTTAACACCAAAATACGCATGTACTACTCGAAATCCAAATCGTTTGTTAATTTACTTTGTCCTGAAAATACCGAAATAAGGGAACGGACAAAAACAATAATAACAATAATAAACATAACAACACAAGTTTTGACTTGACAGTGAATATTCTTACTTTAATTTTTATTTAAACGAATGGGGTGAGGCAATTTTGTACAATGGTAGGCGATTATATCAATACAATGAAGACGACTTTAAGTATTGACAAGCTTTTTTCGAATTACAAGTTCACAAGTAATCAATGAAAAGCTTTTTTAATCGAGAGCTTCTCTTTGTTTCTTTTGTTCTGTGTATCCATGCTGTTAAAAAGCTTGATAAGAATCAAAATTTAAATCGAAAGTCGTCTTCTTAGTATTTATTTAATCGCTTACCACTGTAGGTATCTCAATTTTTTGTTAAGGCAAATGCTTTTAAACGGCTTGTTATTTTTATTTTCTATTTCTTAATGTAAATCTACACAAACGTTAAGACCACAAAAAGAAAACTCTGGAGTTTTGTTATACGATATTTTTTTTTTCGGCTCTGGTATAATATTTAAAGATGGAGCGGAGCTTCTTGCGGGAGGGAGGGGGTGCAGACGCGCCATGAGCCTCGCTTAAAGTAACTCCGATTCTCCAGATTTGCAGAATTGCCATCCAGGCCCTGCGTTACCCTTCTGCTTGCTTTTTACCTTTCATGGCTTAATTAACCAAAAATCAAAATATATCTCTTCATAGTAGACTCCGCAATAGTTTTAATAATCGTTTAATCGACAAATTTGTAATATTAATTCATTCAATTGATTTTTTTTTGTAAATGCTTTACATAAAGCTGGTTTGCGTAAAAGACGACCTTTATAAAGCATAGAATAAAAGCTCAAATTCAAGGATTTCACAAAAGCTACTGTGTTTTGTGATTTAGGGCTGATATCGTTTGATTCGTACATGAAACTCTTGTGAAATAATATAAAAATTTTCTATCTTTATACAAAAATGAAATTGTTCTTCACAATTTTAGGAATTTGTGAAATTTAACAAAAATATATTTTCAAAATGAACTATTTACTCTATGAGATTTGGTTCATCATGAACACCAAACTTTAACTAATATTAATGTTAAGGTAATCCTGGCTATGGATGAAGGGCAGTATGATGGCAAGGTTGACGTCTGGTCTCTAGGAATCACGTGTATAGAACTAGCGGAGAGAAAACCTCCCTACTTCAACATGAACGCTATGTCCGCCCTCTACCATATAGCGCAGAACGAGCCCCCCAGTTTATCTGACCCGGCCTGGTCGGACGTTTTCAAACATTTTGTCGACGCTTGCCTGGAGAAGAATCCATTGGAACGACCTACTTCAGAAAGACTGACTCAGGTCCGTTTTTGTTCTTTATACAAAATCAAAAACAATTATTTCCCACAGTAAATTTAGAGATGGTGTGCATATTTTTCCCCATTTTTTTCTCACTTAATTAGGGTAGATTTAATGGCATTTGCTTTGTTTTTATTGCCTAAATGTTATATTTGAGAAATTTTTTTCAATGTTTCGGTTGCTTTTTTGCCACTAAGATTCGTTACAAGTCACGGATCTGGATTCAGAGACAGAGAGTAATGGATCCGAATTCAAGCAATCACCCCTTTCAAAAAAGTATTTATTTCCCCCAATAAATTTGAATTGAGTAAAAAGTATTAATAAGAATGAAAAAACTTGCCTTTTGATGTCACAATTTTCCTTTTTTTCTTCCCAATTCACCATAAATAATTCCAGTCCCCCCCCCCGGTGTATTTCTGAAAAACACTGTTTCAGTTAATAAAAAAATTAAGCCTAGTTTACGTTTAATTTTTCTGTTGTCAACAGTAAAATACTATAAAGTGCCCCACCCTAAAATTAACAAACAATTAAACGTAAACTAGGCTTAATTTTAAATTAATTAATCAAAGAATTACTTGTAATTAGGGAAAGTTTAGATGAGATATGTTAAACGTTTTTTTTAGATCTAATTTTTTTAAAATTTTTGGTCGCTATTTTGCCCTTTGAAATCTAAGCACTGTGTAAACTTAAAAATATTTTTTCTATGTTTAAGCATCAATTCGTTCGTTTACCCAATTCAGTTATTAGGAAAGTTTAAATGAGATTATATTTAATTTATTTTTAGATCTAAAAGTTTTTTTTAATGTTATGTTCGCTATTTTGTCCTTTAAAATCTAAGCACTGTGTAAACATTCATTATATTTTTTCTATTTCTAATTTTTAATTCGTTGATTTATCTAATTCAGTGAAAAGAAAAGTTTAAATGAGTTTTGATTTGAAACTTTTAAAACAATTTTTTCTTTATGTTTTGGTCGCTATTTTGACGCTTGGAATTTTAGCACTGTACGTTCAAACATTTTAAATATGATTTATCTAAGTATAATTTCATTAATTTACATAATTCAACTTATTTTATTTGATTTGATGCTTACGTTTTTTCAATGTTTTTGTCGTTATTTTGTTCACTTGCTTCCTAAGCACTGTGTTAACATTAAGATATTTTTTATTTCAGCATCAATTTGTTGCTCACGTTCAAGCCCGGTCCGTCCTGATAGACCTGATCGCCAGGACGAAGAACGCGGTGAGGGACTTGGACAACTTGAACTACAGAAAGATGAAGAAGATCCTTATGGCGGAGATGATAGAGACAGAGAGCAACGCGGGACAGGATATTGAAGATGATATTTCTAGCATACAGGTCAGGGGCAATCCGAGTAATGGGAGGTGGGGGGGGGGCTGTAAAATTGTTTAAGAGGTGCTATTATATTTTGGAATAGAAATATATAGATATACAACGAAGAAGAATCTAAAATATGTTTTTGGGGCCTGCTGCCAGAAAAAAAATGTGATTTTTGGCCATTTTTAACTTTTTGATTTTATTTCTTAAAATTTTCGTCAATCTTAAGTTGTTGACTGAGAGTGGTGTTTTACATCATTAAGGAAATGTCAAGCCATTGGTTAAAAGATGAAATCATTGTTTTTCTTAATGTTTTTAAATTTCACAAATTATTATTATTATTCGCAAATTTAGGCCAAAATCATCGAGTTTATTGATTCGCACTTGCACCTTCATAGCATACACTTTTTTAAAAATGTTTTGTTTTCTGTTTGCTTCTTTCCTGATTCTAAAATGTCCTTACTTTTGTAAATAACTGTAATAATGGTTGATTTATTAACAGTTGAAAAACTCAGTTGTGGCAATTCTTTGATGTTTTTGATTTTGATGAGGTAATTGGGTTACTTTTTAATGGTCAGCCCATGGATACGTTTCGGCGGCTAGGAGCGCCGACCCTTATTTTATGATCATTTTAGGTACTTTTGACCTGAAGGTGTTATCAACTGTTAAAAAGTTTCTCTGCCTGAGTCTTTTGATCCTAAACTTACTAGTTTCTTAATCCAAATTAGAGCTAGGATGTATATGTATAGTATTCACCCGTCTACAGACCGATGATTATTTCTAGGGCTGACTACAATAGTAGATCTAAAATCAATTGTTATTTCATTGAATGATGGGTTGTCCTTTAATAATAATAATAATGGGACGTATTAGATTCGCATATTCAGCGTTATACAACCATATCCACGTCTCAATGCTGATTAAGTCACTTTAGTTTTGAAACGGTATGTAGGTAGTCCCTAAAGATTTGGATTGGATTGGATTGGATTGGATTGGATTGGATTGGATCGGATCGGATCGGATCGGATCGGATCGGATCGGATCGGATCGGATGTGGTGATATGATGTGGCAACTTGATGTGGTGATGTGATGTGATGTGATGTGATGTGATGTGATGTGATGTGATGTGATGTGATGTGATGTGATGTGATGTGATGTGATGTGATGTGATGTGATGTGATGTGATGTGATGTGATGTGATGTGATGTGACTCATAAAAACTAAGCGAGCTTTCATTGGTTATTGTCTAACACAAGTTACACCGAAAACCATTTCGATTTTTTAGACTGACTGACTGATTGATTGATTGATTGATTGATTGATTGATTGATTGATTTGTTAAGGATGGAGAAGCTGAAGGATCTAGTAAATCAAATAGTATAACTAGTGAGCATAGTTTACAATCACAAGGTAAGCAAACCTTTTATCTATATATATACTTAACTTGTCTGTCAGTCTGTTTGTTTGTTTGTGGATGATCTAATTTAAAAAAAATTGCCACTAACAAAATTTTGAAAATCCACGAATTTTTTATTAAATCCGCGATTTCTTTATTTTACAATGTATTTAAAAAAAGAGAACATGTCCACAATTAAAATATAAGATGGGCGTGACGCACCCTAAAAGCCTAGTCTACTTTGCTTGTCTGTCTGCTCAAGTCTGTCCGGTTGTATCCAATAAACGTAAAAACGGCTGAACCAATCGGGCACAATTTTTTTGTGGGACCTAACGTGACCCCATGGAAGGTCTATGGATGATCGAATTTTCAAAAATTAAAATTTTGAAATTTTTGTTTTAAATCTGCGATTTTTTTTGTCTTTTACAATTAATTCTGAGAGAAAATGTACTAGGATTTTATGGCTCTTCGTGCCCATCTTCATCTCATTTCTTAACATTTTCTCCTTTAGTACATTGTAAAACAGAACAAACAAGTTCAGAGAGTTTGCGCGGAGCTGAATTTTTTTAATGATTTTTTTTTAAATGATTTTTTTTTGATGAATGTTAAAATGAAGAATATTGATTGATAAAATTTATATTCTTGTTACGAAGTAAAAAAGTAAGGTCATAATTTCTTTCGCCACCTTCTTTTAATTACTTAAAGGGAGTGTTCGAGAAAAATGAAAGGTGGTAAGATAAGATAAGATAAGATAAAGTTTATTGCTAAAATAAATGTATCTGTATACAGATAGAGTTTACAATCACAAAATTGATGATTATATTAACAGTACAAGTATAAAGCAATTAGGTGGAAAATAGCTCTTGGCTGTTTTGATTATTTTTTTCCACCTAATTTTAGTTATTATAACAAAATATTTAAATTATATAGATTTAAGGAGAACGATTAGAGATCAGGGTGCAAATTTATCATATGCAAAATAGTTTATACATTAATTCGAATAACTAGAGTTTAAAGTAATTTTCTGACATGTACACAACAAATATCTTAAGCATATTAAAACATATCTAATTAGTTTTACATGAATAAAGCTTTTGTTATCGATTTTCTTGAGACGGGGGTTACTCTGTTGTGTGTATTTGCGGCCAACCGGGAAAGAATTGTACGGGGAGAATAAATATCCCCCACCAGAATTCCGACGGGCCTATTGTTCAAATTTGTCTGGTGTGTTGCTGTTATCTGTCAACTGGTATAGGCTTAATGCGATAAAAAAGCGCTTTTGATTGCTACAAATATTACTTCTATCTGTTGCGTGTATAAGGAGAAAATTGTTAAAAACGACTAATACCGAAGAACGTAGTGTCCATACAAGTTCAGAAACTTGAAAGATGCAACATTCAACTCGGATCGTAAACAAATCAATTTAATTCCAAACAAATCATTCAGATATTACAAACAATAGTCATCGATTAATTATCAACGCATTCGTAAATACTTGATATTTCATAATATTTTGTATTTTTCATGATCTGAGAGTTACTTTTGAAAACATTTATTCCTGTTTCGAGGATTTTTGAAAGTAAAGACGACATTTTTATATTTTCCAGAAATGTTCGAAAATCGAGCGCCAGCGAAAATTTTTTTTTTTTTAAATCAAAAATATTGTGAAATATTTGTATGGACGCTGCGTTCTTCGGTGTAAGTCGTTTTTAACAATTTTCTCCTTATGGACGCAACAGATAAAAGTTATATTAGTAGCGATCAAAAGCGCTTTTTTATCGCATTAAGCCTATACCCCCTTTCATTTTTCGCAAACACTCCCTATAATACATTTATATTTTCCCAAAGTTGAAGTTAATTCAGTGGCAGAACTTTTAATTATTATGAAAGAATAAACGAGGAAATATTTTTTTGAATTTTTTTCCTTTTTTTTTTTGCTTTTGAACTAATAATTGAAATTTAGGAATTACAAGCTCTGCTGGTTCTTCAACAAACAGTTTACCAGTGGGTGGGGCCGAGGGCGGGGCAGGGCATAATCATTCTCCTCTACAGTACGCTATCCATAACTCCCATACAGCCAGGAGCAAACCATCACCTAATCAGGTATCTTAACTTTTTTAGACAAAATCCTTTTCAAATTTTTTATTCAGAAAATGTTGATAATATTAATAAACTTTGTACTGATATTAATACTTGTATTTAACTCCTAGCTTGCATTTGAATCTTGTTTAAGTAAAAATGGTTTTAAACACGGAAAAGTGAATGTGGGGGGGGGTTCCTTTTTATTTATATCAAAATCAAATTATGCACAAATGCAAAATTTCATTTAGATTGCTTAAAAATTGACAAAGTGAACTCACACATGAATTCAAATTGATAATAGTGAGTACTGAATAGCGACTGTCCCCTTTTTTAATTATTATTATTTTTATATTTTATAAAATTATCTTTTTGATTTTCTAGTTGAATCCTCGTAAGCTGACCGTGTCGCCTAGCTACGATGAAGGTACGATTGATCCTAAAAACTTCGCAACAATCCGAACAACTTCCATCGTTCAGCGCCAACAAAAGGAACATCTACAGGTAGTGTTATTTCTCGTTAATTATCGTTATAAGAAAGAAAGAAATCTGCTAAAATCGACAGAATCTTTCAGATTTAGTAATAATCATTGTAATGGAATCCGTAAAATTGTATGAGAATCTTTAAGAAGTTTTTAATTTATTTTATTTTGTCAAAAATATTGTAATTTCCATTTGTTATAGAGAGGAGGTTAATTCAATTTGATTTGTGTAGAATGGATTTTTTGATTGATTAGTTTTGAAATTGATTAATTGTTTGATCAGGAGGAGATGCATGAGCAGATGTCAGGATACAAGCGTCTACGCAGAGATCATCAGGTAGGATACAATCGTCTAAGTAGAGATCATCAGGTAGGATAAATGCGTCTACGCAGAGATAATCAGTTAGGATACATACTTCTACGCAGAGATCATCAGGTAGGATACAGGCGTCTACGCAGAGATCATCGGTAGGATACAGGCGTCTACGTAGAGATCATCAGGCAGGATACAGGCGTCTACGTAGAGATCTCATCAGGCAGGATACAGGCATCTACGCAGAGATCATCAGGTAGGATATAGGTATCTACGCAGAGATCATCGGTAGGATACAGGCATCTACGTAGAGATCATCAGACAGGATACAATCGTCATCAGGTAGGATACATGCGTTTACGCAGCGATCATCAGGTTAACCATAGATTAATTAGAATAACAGATAGGACACTAGATGTCAAGATTCCTGTGTGTTACATTCACAATAACCCTGAGGCAGTAGCCTAAAGGAGATACTTGTCGGCGTAGAAAAAAGACAGAGAGAGAGACTGTTCTACGCCGACTACGTGTAACTCCTTTGGGCTGTTTCCTCATGGTTATTGTGAACGAAACACACAGAAATCTTGAGAAGACGGCATCTAGTGTCCTATTTTTTGGATGAGGTAAAACTCAGCACGATTGATTTATAATTTTTTTGTAGAAATCAGTCAACCGCCCACCGGGAATTCAACATAAAATTTCCAAAAAAAATTTGAATTAAACGGTGAAATTTTTAAGAAGAAAAATTGGTCGCATTATTTTTTTTTAGGTCTTCATGCACAAACCCCCGATATGGGCGGTTGGCTCAGTTCCATATTTTATGTTTAAAAAATCCAAGAAGTAAAGTAAAAGTGATGAAAACTCCCATGTTGTTTACAGTTAAACTCACGTATCAAATTTTCAGATTAAAAACACAGTTTTTAATCGGTGACCTTATTTTTAAAAATCTGATTTTGCTTTACTTTAACCCATTTTTAGAATGTCATTTTGTTGTATTTAAAACCGATTATTTCAGGCCTCACTCTTGAAACTTGAAGAACAGTGTAGACAAGAGATGGAGAAACATAAGCAACAGTTAGACAGGTAGATAGATAGATACTAGAAATTGGACGAACACAATCGGAAACCCTTTGAGTAAAATGTGTAAAATGTCCCCCCCCCCCCAGTGTAAAATGTCCCCCCCCCAAAAAAAAAAAATCTCCCTCAGTTTCGCCTATGCTGTGTTGAACATTAGTAAGGTTTTATTCTCTTGGTGGCTTTTGTGACATTAACTGGCTTTTGTGACATTAACTGGCTTTTGTGACATTAACTGGCTTTTGTGACATTAACTGGCTTTTGTGACATTAACTGGCTTTTAACGCTTATTTTAGGCTTATAATTCCAGAGTGATCGTGGATTTAGATAATCCTGTTCTTGGATTTATATAATCTTGTTCTTGGATTTAGAATTTAAATAATCTTATTCTTGAATTTAAATAATCTTGTTCTTGGATTTAGATAATCTTGTTCTTGGATTTAGATAATCTTGTTCTTGTATTTAGATAATCTTGTTCTTGTATTTAGATAATCTTGTTCTTGGATTAAGATCATCTTAAAAGTCAACGTGCTCAACTCAAACTCTTAAATCAAATAATATTTCAGTGGTTCTACATAATACCCCGATCAAGTTTGGACGTAAATCAAAGAAACAGACAGAAAGTGATTACTACTTTGTAGATTTTGATTTAAAAAAATGTTGAATTATTGACATCTTTATTTTCTAGGGAGTATGAGACTCTGCTGACCCAGTTTAGTAAAGAACTTGAGAAGCTTCAGCTGAAACATCAGGTAGGATTATTACAGCATGGAAAATTTTGAAAATGTGAAAAATCTGTTTTATTCAAAAATTCAAAGGAGACGCTATAAAATTGTTCATCTCCTATATTCGTTGAGTTTTTATTTTTTCCAGTTTTTTCAGTACACATTCGTTTTCTTCAGAATTTATTATTTATATTAAAATAATTCATTTCTTTGTATTCAGTCAAAATGGGTTTTTTGTCTCATATTATTGTTGAATTGTAAATTTCAAATTTTCGGATAGACAAGATCATGAAGAGATTTATTAAAGGGACTATAAGCGCAATTTCAATTTGCCCTCCAAGCAAAAATCACAATGCCTTATTTACAACAGTACCCTTGAAAGCTTATTCTGACAATGTATGAATTAGGTATCCATGCTTTTGTTTCTTTAAACTGTTTCTTTTCAATTGCGGTTTCTCTGTGAAAGTGACTTGCGCATTTCTTGTTAATTAGAAGCAATGGAGAAACTCACAGAAATAAAAAACTTTTCGAGATTGAAAAATTTCTGAATCTTCATCAGATTAAGGTTTCAAGGGTACCGTTGTAAATCGGGCATTGTCATCTTCGCATTTAGGGTCACTTGAAATTACGCTTACAGTCCTTATAAACTTTGTTCCCACCACGTTACCTCCCGTCCCTGACCAGTGACGCTGTTGTTGTTGCAGGAGGAGCTGGGGAAGAGGTTGAAGATGAACATCAACACAGAGAAGAAACTGATCAAGGAGGTGTCAACCAATCATGATACTGAGAGAAAGAGTTTTGAAGTGAAAATGAAAGCTGAGTATAAGCTAAAGAAGGATCGATGGAAGAGAGAAATGGAGAACCAGGAAACACCAAAGAGTCAGAGAAATCAAGGTAATTAATATTTAATTTTTATTTTATGAAACATTTTATTTTATTATTGTAATTCATAGATGCTGTACTTAACCATGCTCTTACACTTTTTTTTTGACGTTTACTGAATACAAACTAACAGACAAATCAACTAACAAGCCAAATATACAAACACAATACAAGGCTTTTAACGCGCTTCTCTCTATCCTAGTAACAATTTCAGCTACATTAACCGTTAATTTCAGTCGCTATTTTTTCATCGTTCTCCATCAATCAAACATTTTCGAGGATTTTTCAGTTTTCTTATGATATTTATTTTTCAGCTTTGTTGCAGCACAAAGAGAACTTCAAGGAACTGGATGCAGTAGAATCTGCTCGATTGCAGCGGAGTCAGAAGGATCATTTAGATTATGAAATACGGAAATTCAGACGGAGACGGTTAATCATCTATCATGATCTAGAACAAGATCTACTCAGAGAGGTAACCCTGCACGGGGGTCGGGGGATGATTTGCGATGATCCAAGGGGGGGAGGGGGGTACATTGGACTGAAACTGGCAAGTTTTTTTTCATCCTTTTTGATACTTTTTACCAAAAAAAAAAATTTTTTTTTTTCCCATATCTATGGAGGTAGAAGGGTAAATTTTCAAGAATTATTCCCCCCCCCCTGGGGGAATGATTTATGATGCTCAGCTAAGGGGGGGGGGGGAAATGAAAAGTTGGGACATCAATAGACATTTTTTTAGTTTTTACTCAAACTCGATATTTTTCGATTAGAATTAATTTATTCCACCATAGACATCTTTTATATTCCCCAATTCAGCTAATAAATTTTTTTTTAAAAGCATACACATACCTAAAATCGGGTGTGGGGGGGGTATGTTTTTAAAATATTGTTTAAGAGTAAATGATAATTGAAGCAAATTTAAAGCCCTTATCTTATATTAATTAATTTAGGAGTTGAAAAAGAGACAAGCCCAGCTTGAATCTGCACATTCAATGCTTCTCAGGCATCATGAGATGACACAGGTATATTAAAGGATATTTCAAGGGTTGAGAGATATATTTGGACGGGTTGAGAGATATATTTTAAGGGTTGAGGAATATATTTCAAGAGTTGGGAGATACATTTCAAGAGATTTATTGGAGATTTATTTAAGGTTGGAAGATATATTTAAAGGTGGGAGATTTTATCAAGAGTTGGGAAATGTATTTCAAGAGTTGTGACATTATTATATTTAGGAGCTTAAAACCCGTCAGCAAAGAAGTGTACACGGACTAATCCTAATTAAATTTAGGAGCTTGAAACCCTCATCAAAGAAGTGTACATGGACTAAACCTAATTATATTTAGGAGCTTGAAACCCTCATCAAAGAAGTGCACACGGACTAAACCTAATTATATTTAGGAGCTTAAAACCCGTCAGAAAAGAAGTGTACCCGGACTAATCCTAATTATATTTAGGAGCTTGAAACCCTCATCAAAGAAGTGTACACGGACTAATCCTAATTATATTTAGGAGCTTAAAACCCGTCAACAAAGAAGTGTACACGGACTAAACCTAATTATATTTAGGAGCTTAAAACCCGTCAACAAAGAAGTGTACACGGACTAAACCTAATTATATTTTGGAGCTTAAAACCCGTCAACAAAGAAGTGTACACGGACTAAACCTAATTATATTTAGGAGCTTAAAACCCGTCAGCAAAGAAGTGTACACGGACTAATCCTACTTTAATTTAGCAGCTTAAAACCCGTCAGCAGAGAAGTGTACACGGACTAAACCTAATTATATTCAGGAGCTTGAAACCCGTCAGCAGAGAAGTGTACACGGACTGCGTGAAGGTCAACTCACAAAACAACATCAAACAGAACTAACTAACCAGGTAATAGTTGCGCATACGTTTTTTATTTCGTTTAAATGGGCCGATAACGTGTTATAACGATAAATCCAGCGACGATTTATAAAGGTACTTTTAAAAAATAATAGTATGTAGTATTTTTTTTGTTAACAAGAACTAAAAATTAAGTGATTTTCCTTTTAGCTTTGGAATTTTGTTTTTTGGCTTATTTTCTGAATTTGGAATATAGAAATTCTTAACATTTTCTTTATTTTTCTAAAGAAAAGATTATTGAAAAAATTATAATTTGCCATTCCAGGATGAATACATACAGAGATCAAAACGAGAATTGAAGAAAAAACACGCCATGGAGATCAAACAGCAACCCAAGAGCTTAAAGCAAAAAGAAATCCTTATTAGAAAACAATTCCGAGATACGTGTAAAATTCAAACTCGGCAATATAAGGCCTTAAAAATTCAGGTAAGAGGCTTATGACACGTTTAATGGTGACGGGGTGAGGAAGGGGGGGGGGGTATGGAAGTTTCAGCCCCAGGACATATTCCTGTATACGCCCCTGCAAAAGGTTGTGTACTGTATGTACTCTAGGTATTGCAGACTACTGCAAAGGTTATGGACTATAAACTAAATGTACTCTAGGTACTGCATTCTACTGCTTAGGATGTGTACTGTATCCTAATTGTACTTTAGGTACTGCATACTACTACTAAGGTTGTTTACTGTACACTGAATGTACTCTAGGTACTGCATACTACCGGGAGGGTTATGTACCGTATACTAAATGTACTATAAGTACTGCAGACTACTACTAAGGTGGTTACTGTATACTGTATACTGTATACTAAATGTTCTCTGGGTATTGCATACTACTGCTAAGGTTGTGTACTGTATACTTTATGTACTCTAGGTTCTGCCGACTTCTACTAAAATTGTGTACATAATTAATGTACTCTAGGTACTGAAAACTACTATTAAGGTTGTGTACTGTTTACTGTATGTACTCTAGTAACTGCTAAGGTTTTGTATTTACACTGAATGTACTCTAGGTACTGCAGACTACTGCTAAAGAAGATCAGAAGATTGTTCTGAAGAAGTTAAAGGAAGAACAGAGAAGGAAGATGGCGCTGTTGGGAGAACAGTATGAACAAACTATTGCAGAGATGCTGCAGAAACAATCTGTAAGTACTTCATTAACTCGGTGCTTCATATCCATTCAATTTTTATGCGGATCCGGATCTTGGATCCTCACTGGAAAAAGATGGATTATTTTTAAATCATCTTTTTACATTTACATGCACTTGATATCTGTATAATAAACCTCTTCGATTAAAAATATAAATACGACCACGCCGGACACTACATCTGAAGTCATGATTTAAGACCAAGCGAACGGCGGAAGTAAATATGAAAAACTTGGGCACTATCAAAGAGAATTAATTTACTATTAATCAGACGACTTGACGATTTAATTTTACAAATATAATTGATGAAACGAAAATCATAAAATATCCCTTGTTCTGCTTTTTCCAAAATGTGGTCTGCCTTATTTACACATTAACATTTTTCAGAATATATATGTAAGGAATAACTGTCAATTAATTTTTAAATTCGGCGATAATGATGGACCAAATCTCTGTAGTAAAAGGGGAGGGTACAGATTTCCCATTTGAATACATTTTGGACTCCTGTCTTAATTTTTTTGAGGAATCTGAATGAAATTTTGCATATGGGCATAATTTTTGTTTATTTTAAGTAAAATATAAAAATATGGAAAAAATATCTTTTTCCTCATTTTTCAATGTTTTTTAAACCTTCTTCACTAAGAAGTCTGAGTCAAATACCAACTAGGTGCTTTAAACACCTGCTTGTTAGTCAATAATCTCATTACTAACATCAGAACGAAGTTTAAGGTTTTTCAGTAGATTTTAGTTATGAACAAACATAAAAGATTTTTTTAATGGGCCGTCAGATGGAAAGAAGGGAAACGAACTCAGATAATATTTAAAATTTATTTGTAGAATACTTTGTTGAAATTGGTGAACAATCCATTGTAAAAAACTGTTTGTTTGACCACGTTGACCGGACTGGTTGTTTGACCACGTTGACCGGGCTGTTTGTTAAGATCCGCCTGGACGAGTCCCAGGAAATGGAAGCTACACAGCTAGGGGAGAGATTACAGAGAGAACTGGAAATACTCACAGCTTATCAAAGCAAATCTAGGTAGGCGAGGGAGGGAGGGTAATCTAAGTAGGCGATGGAGGAAGGGTACTTCTAGGCAGGCGAGGGTGGGATGGTAATGCTAGGTAGACGAGGGAGTGAGGATAATCTAGGTAGTTGAGGGAGGGAGGGTTATGTACGTAGCTGAGGGAGGGAGGGTAATTCTATGAAGGCGAGGGACTATGGAGGGAGGGTAATCTACGTGGGTGAGCGAGAGAGGATAATTCTATAAAGGTGAGGGACTAGGGAGGGAGGATAATACTATTAAGGCGAGGGACTAGAGAGGGATGATAATTCTGTGAAGGCGAGGAATAGGGAGGGAGAGGGACTAGGGAGGGAGGATAATACTATTAAGGCGAGGGACTAGAGAGGGATGATAATTCTGTGAAGGCGAGGAATAGGGAGGGAGGATAATACTATTAAGGCGAGGGACTAGGGTAGGGTTCCTCCCAGGTTTTTTGTGGCAGGTCAGGATAAAAGCAAAAGTGACAGAATTTACACAAAGCCCGCGAAAACTTCAAAGAAGTTTTCTGCGACGGGGGGTCGCAAGGGGCTCTGCAGAGAAAAATTTGGGATTTTGGTAGTAGAATAGAGCGTTTTGGTGCTGTAAAAATTTGTGTGACGCCTAATTTAACCAATTACAATAAAAAAGTAGCAGAATTTATACACAGCCCGCGAAAACTTCGAAAAAGTTTTCTGCGGTGGGGGGTTGCAAGAGGGGCGCAGAGAATTTTTTTGGATTTTTGTAGTAGAATAGAGTGTTTTGGTGCTGTAAAATGGTCAATAACCAGGTCCCTCCCATAAGATTTTCATAACTGTTTTTCATGAAACTTAAGGGTTTTTTATATTTTATTGTTCAAAATTTTTTGTAAAGTCATGTATGTGCACCGATTAGCTTTTTAAAATGACGCTTAATTTAACCAATTACAGACCGATAATTTTAACCAATAACAAAAAAGGCCTCAGATTTACACTTTTTGCGCGTTCACCCTTAGCAGAACTGATGGCGTATCTTTCGACCTACGCACATCCGCTATACTCAACTTCTGACCTACGTCAAATCCCCTAAACTACACATCCGTTTGTGGCAGATTTAAAGCTCATTCATAATTTTTGTGGCATATTTCATGCATTAAGATTATGGTTGTGGTAGATTTAAAGCTTATTAAAAATTTTTGTGGCAGATCTCGTGCATTAAGATCATGTTTGTGGCAGATATAAAGCTCATTCATAATTTTTAGCAGATTTAAAGCTCATTCATAATTTTTGTGGCAGATCTCATGCATAAAGATTATGTTTGTGGCAGATTTGAAGCTCATTCATAATTTTTGTGGCAGATCTCATGCATAAAGATTATGTTTGTGGCATATTTTATGCGTTAATTGGTAGCTTTTCCCCAAAATTGGCAGATTAGTTCTCTAAATTGGCAATTTTTTCCCTAAATTGGCAGATTTTTGCCTAAAGTTTTCAAATCTGAAAGTGGCAGGTCTGTTGGGTCAGGTAAACTGACCCAAATTTGCTCTGGGAGGAACCCTGGACTAGGGAGGGAGGATAATTCTATGTAGGCGAGGGACTAGGGAGAGAGGATAGTTCTATTTAGGTGAGGGACTAGGGAGGGAGGAAAATTCTATGTAGGCGAGGGACTAGGGAGGGAGGATAATTCTATGTAGGCGAGGGACTAGGGAGGGAGGATAATTCTATGTAGGCGAGGGACTTGGGAGGGAGGATAATACTATGTAGGCGAGGGACTAGGAAGGGAGGATAATACTATGTAGGCGTGGGACTAGGGAGGAAGGACTAGTCTAAGTAACTGAGGGGATAATAAGGTTGAGGTGTCTTAAGTGCGCCTATAGTCATTAAGCTAGGGTTTGGTTGACAGATTCTGTTTTTCTAGAATGGCAGCTGAAGGTCAGCGGTCGCGTGAGCGGCGCGAGCTGGAGGAACGGGTTAGCGTTCGACGAGCTCTACTGGGACAAAAGATGGAAGAGGAGAGTAGTCAGTTCCTTCAAGAGCGAGGGGAGAGAATCAGGCTGTTACATGACCGGCAGGCGAGGGAGGTGGATCAGTTCGACGAGGAGAGTGCCAGGCTCGGTTTTAGGTTTGTATTTTTATGTAGAACTGGTATATATATTACATCTTCCCCTTTCTGAAAATTATTTTTTTCTCAGACATTGTTTTTTTTGGGTTTTATTCGCTGAATTTTGGAAACTAGATTGAACTTTTGGGCAGAAAAGAAACAAGAAGGGTCAATTGTTTCCCATAGCATCAAATATTATTTCTTAAAACTGTGAATACCCCTGAATAGTTTTTAACGTCCATATTTATGGGTCTTTTCAGAATGATGATTATAGCATAGAACACTACATTCTCTGTGTCGACATTTTTTATGTTTTCATATTTAAATACAATTTTTTTCCTTTAACCTTGAACTTACTAATGTTACAGTAGTATGCGATTATATCAATACAATGAATACGATTTTATAAGTTTTGACTCTTGACAAGTTTTTTCCGAATTAAATGTTTACAAGTAATCAAAGAGAACCTCTTTTTTTCTTGATTTCAATCCATGCTGTTTAACAGCTTATACAAATCAAAATTGAAAGCGAATAGTATTAATATAATCGCCTACCACTGTATATATAACAGTCGTCTTTCTCTTCCGCATTTTTATGGATCCCACTGTGTTCTATGTCATCAAAGCAATAACGTCAAGTTTATTTTTAGTGCAATGAATATTGCGGAGAGCAGTCGAGAAGTTGGATACGGTGAAGACCAAAATAATTCATCATCATCACAGCAATCCATCAATAACTCTCATTCTAATGCATCCAGTTTCCGTCAGCGTACGCATATTTAGATAAACCAAGCGTACGCTTATTTATATTAACATTTCTTGTCCATGTACGCACATAGTTTAAACTCCTAAAAATACGTTTTTTTCAATTAAAAAAATATCATCTCTTTCAAGCTAATTAGTGACACCCTCCTCCCACCTCACACGCGCGCCCCTCTTTAGTTGTTATATTAGATTTTTGTTTTAGTGAACCTTTAAAGTGACTGTAGACGTAATTTTAAGTGACCCGCCATTTACAGAAGGGTATGTTCGATTCTCTTTTGTACCGTGTGTATAATCAAGAACGAATCGAATGAGACATCCATGTTTTTTACTTTAAAAATTAATTACTTTTAAGTATCTCTATAAAAATGACGATTTCTGCTACAGAAAAATTTAACTATTTTGAAGCTAGAAAAAAAACGATATCTTCTACACCATTCATCAAATGAAGAAGGGTATCAATGTGAATCGGACATGGTAGCTCCTCTTTAAATGTAGGCTCACTTGAAATAACATCGACAGATCCTTCCCACCATCCCCAGACTAAACTTATATTACTTGATTACTTATTAAACCCTAGGTTATTAACTATTAAAATAATTCCATGATTTTAGAATGAATTTCTTCCGTATTTAGTATCGTGAATTAATTGTTGCGTTATTTAATAGATAACTTGATTAGAATTAACAATTTAATTATCACATTGTGAGAAGCAAGAATGTAAGGCAAGGAAAGTCAATTGCGGTCGTGTATACTCTGCGAACATATTGAACCCAGTTCTCTCTGGGCGGAATTTGTAAACAAGAATAGATGCATCAGTGTTCGTTTAGTATCCGAGGAGGTTAAAAGCATTACATTTTAATAATTTTGATAATTCACATAATAATTTCCTATGACCAGAATATTTCATTGATTTTTTATGTGAATGATGGATCCCATGTCAGGCTTCGACTTCCGTCTTGTGTTTACATTAGCGCCCAGAGACAGTACACTGCAGTACTAAAGATGTGTACACTTCTGAAATGACTTTCCTTGCCTTACATCCTTGGTGAGAAGTTTGTTTAATGTTTAAATGCGTAACTGTACTGTGCGTTTATATTATAATTTTATGACAGTTAAAACCCCAGTGTGGAATGAAATCGTTAATATTGAGTAATTATTAATTATAATTTTTATAACTTGCCAAAAAATGGTCAAAATTTTACCACGGCCAGTTTTAATGCAAAAAGTAAACTACAAATTTCCTTATTGGATAAAATTGAGTATTTAAAAAAGTATCATTCCGGTTTTGACCATTTGGTGAATTTTGCTGAAGCATGAGCGGTTTTTATATTCTTGCCTCTTTAACCCTGATTTGAACTTGATTACCAGGGGTTTTGAGGGCTTAATGTTTTGTTTAATATTGAAACCTTGTCAATACAAATATATCAGATGAAATCTTAACTGGACTCTTTTATTAGTGAAGTTGTGAAAATTAAGAAAAATCGATGACTCGATCAAGAAGACGATCTGCGGTAGACCCGCCGCTCCTGCTCCTTCCGCTCAGGTCAAAGCCTCACCGCCTCCGCCGAGCTGCTCAGCATCACTGATGTTTAGTATTCTCATTAATCTACTGACAACCGCCAAATATCTGTAAAATGGAATTTAACCTGGTTTTGGTTGACGCCTGTGAATTTTAAATATTTTAGAAAACTCCGCTGTTTCAACAGAAAGAGCGTTTTAAAATTATTACTTTGGCGTTTTGTTCAACCCAGCTCTTGGATACAATTATAGAAATACCTGATGTTTTCCTTTTTTTCAGAAAAATGAGCTCGGAAGGAGCCTAAGGGTGAAATATTGTTTGCACTAATGATTGATCGGACTAACGTTCATTCGCACTACACTTAATTGTTTAATCAAACTGAAATGCACAGATTTGTTGAGCACGTGGAGAATTATTTTATAAATTATAGCGGAATTCGGCTCACTTTTTCTAAAATTTTACCCTTTTTCCACATTTCCCTTAATTAGTGCAAACGGTGTTAGGAATAGGAAAAAAAATAGAAACATTAAAAAGGTTACAAGTTAGGAACAAAAATTAAAGAATTATAAATTAGGAACAAAAATTAAGAACTAGGAACGTAAATAGTAAAACATGAAATAATGATGAACACATGAAGGTAGATAAGATAAGATATAGTTTATTGCTAAAAATACACATGCAAGTTATAATGTTGCACGCAAAAAATCTGCAACTATTTTTATATTGTTTACGATATGTATGTAATGATAGAAATTTATAGGTGGAGATTACCTATTTGCTGTTTTGGGTGTTATCCCCACCTAATTAATATTATTTATAATGTTTACAATGTTATGAATATTACTAGGTTCTGAAAGTTTACAATAAGTCAGGGATTTCTTGTTAGATTTAAAGAGACCGAGGTGCAGCATAACAAAATAATTTATTTTTCAGTTTTAAGTTTAGTACGTTTAACAGTTCAAGATTAAGCATAATTACAAAGTTCTATATTCATTTGTTGCAAGAATAACAAGAGAGTTTATTGCACTTTCAGATGTAGGCGTCAGATAACATTTTAAATAAATTTTTTTTAAATATACCTAACGAGGGACTTCTTTTTAAACCAAGTAGCAGTTTCTTCCATATTGTAAGAAGGTACATCCTACAGGTTTATTAAGTAAGGAACAAAAAATACAAACATACATATGCGCATAGTGCAAAAAACTTCATTCATACTGTACATGAAATTGGAACAATAGTCAATAATAGGAACATAAAGCAAGTTAAGACCAAAGAGAAATTTCTAGGTAAGTAATGTGTATGTATAAATTAGGAACATTATTACAATTTTGATAAAGGAGTAAGGCCTGAACATTACTATGCATATGCAAGTTAGATTGGAACAATATTATTAATATAAGTCTTCCCCAGGCCAGTATCGAAGGTGGGGTGCAAAGGGGTAGGTGCACCCCCTTTTAAATTGGGGGTGCAACGGCGAATTTGCACCCGGCCCCTTAAAAATAAGTTGTTTTACAAAATCTTCTCTTGAAAAATTATTAGCATTCTGTATAGTTCAAAACAATTATTTAATCAAGCTGTTTCCTCAGACCAACCAAATAAAACCTTTTTTGAAAAATATTTGTCCTGAGGTAAGATTTTCTGATCGAATTGGTTTGTTGTTCTTTTGCATATGTCGATAAACAGACATGATACAATCTAACAGATAAATGAATAATATGTTTCAGTATTTATCAAAAATTGTATTCCTTGAATTTTGCAGTAATTTTGTCTCAGTTTTAACATTTTGTCTAGACAATTTAAAATCAGTGAACAAGGATAGAATATTGAATTTTTTAAAAATACTTAGAGAATAGATGTCTGCTCTGCCACTCAACAGAGAATAGAGGTCTGCCCTGCCACTTAACAGAGAATAGAGGTCTGCCCTGCCACTTAACAGAGAATAGAGGTCTGCCCTGCCACTTAACAGAGAATAGAGGTCTGCCCTGCCACTTAACAGAGAATAGAGGTCTGCCCTGCCACTTAACAGAGAATAGAGGTCTGCCCTGCCACTTAACAGAGAATAGAGGTCTGCCCTGCCACTTAACAGAGAATAGAGGTCTGCCCTGCCACTTAACAGAGAATAGAGGTCTGCCCTGCCACTTAACAGAGAATAGAGGTCTGCCCTGCCACTTAACAGAGAATAGAGGTCTGCCCTGCCACTTAACAGAGAATAGAGGTCTGCCCTGCCACTTAACAGAGAATAGAGGTCTGCCCTGCCACTTAACAGAGAATAGAGGTCTGCCCTGCCACTTAACAGAGAATAGAGGTCTGCCCTGCCACTTAACAGAGAATAGAGGTCTGCCCTGCCACTTAACAGAGAATAGAGGTCTGCCCTGCCACTTAACAGAGAATAGAGGTCTGCCCTGCCACTTAACAGAGAATAGAGGTCTGCCCTGCNATGCGACTATTCCAGAGTGGAAAATGATACTCTAGTCTGAGAATAAGCCTAGGATTCAAACGCGTTACTCCAAGATGGATTACAGGTTAGGGTTTGATTTTAAAGTTTATGATTCGTTCTATCGGTATGATTCAACAGGTGCACATGGGAACCTTGAGTCTGGCCTCGAAACTTTTTCTTGACCGATATGTGCTTGGAAAGCTATATGATTTTGAAGAAGAGTGTGTCGAAAATTACTTGTACTAAGTGGAATAATCTAAGCAGGAAAATTCAAAAATCAGATTGCTAAATTGATGAAAAGAACTGAAAAAATGGGTCACAAATTTATTAAACTTGTTACAAACAAATGATTTAGGGTTGAGGAAACTAGAGGATCTTTGTGAGAAAACAGGCAGCCAGCTGGCTGTCATTCATAGATTTATGTCAAATCACACTGGAGACTTCAGTGAAAGTGAACAGAAGTTGGTTGAAAATTTGCCAGTCCAAAGTGTCAGAAGAAAATTTTATAGTAGATCAATAAGTGAACGGTCCTCACATGGTGTTCAAGAACTTGCAATGGAACTTGAAGGAAAATCGTGGAAAAACAGAACTGATCGTTCCAAAAGGTTAAAATCTCCATCACCTTTTGATGCCTCACCAGAAAATAACCCAAGAAGACTAATTTCAAATGTTAACAGACTGGAAAATTCAAGAAAGTTCTTCAGGTTCCGACAAATACCTTAAATGGTCCATTGAGAAGTCCTAAAGGAGAAGAGAAAGGAAATTGTCTTTAAAAAGGGATCTTGGGTCAGATATTTCAGAGGAGAGTAGTGAGGATGATTATAAACCAGACAACAGGACATTAGTTGGGGAAAATGCCATTTCCAGAGAGAATATGCAAGAGGATGCTCCACCAGGGCGAGATGCTACAGTTAAAATCCTTGAGTGCAGAAGTGAGGCCGGAGGATCCCAGGTCCAGGGATCTAAGTCTGACTCATCTGTAACCTCAAGTTAGGATACAGAGATCATCTGAAGGTTTACAACAGGTGAACGTAATAAATCTAAAAAATCTTTGTTCATAATGATTCTGAAATTCTTTATCAATAATTTGTAAATTCCATGATGTACGAGAAGAAAGAAAATGGGTGACTTTGTTTATATTAATTAACACCTTTAACAGGAAGCATCTTGCTGCTACCCGAGACTATACTTCAATTACTGATGAACTGGAGGGGCGTCTACCAAACTCAGTGAAAGAGGATCGATTAGATAAAAGACTCCCAGCTATCAGGAAACCAATCCTTTATCTTATGCGTCTAAATTTGGTCACATTGATAGATTGTTTGATCTAGAGGTTGTTTTATTTATCCATTGTCAGATTGATCCTTAGAATTTTTGGTGAATTGTAGGTAGGATTGTAGAATTGAGGAGTTGATGAATCATGGGTGTTTGATGGATTGATTGTTGATTGTTAATTGTTTGATTTTTGATTTTTGATTGTTTGATTTATAGACTAGTAAATAGATGGATTGAAAGAATAGTTGTTAGATTGATTGGTTTTACTTATTTGATTTAACTGAGTGATGCATTGATACATTGTTTGATTGATGGATTGATGGATTGGTTTGACCAGGGTTTAGGAGAACACATGAATGGATGCTGAAGAAGCAGATTACAACCTGTTTGAAAACCTGATCGAAAGAAGGCTAAGGTTTGTTAAAAACTAGTTTCCAAACAAAATTCTGTTTCGTAGAATTGTGCGAAATTTTGAAGAATTAAGCCGAATTGCGTTGAATTGTGCTGAATTGTAAAGAATGACGCGGAATTGCATTATTTTGCTTAATTTAAAAAATTACCAGCTTCCATTCTTTGATGGAAAAATTGATCAATAAATCGATCAATTAATCATTATAATAGGAGGGAGAGTACCAACTTCCATTCTTCGATGGAAGAATTGATCAATAAAGTAATCAAATAATCATTATAATACAAGGGAGAGTACCAACCTCCATTCTTTGATGTTCGATGGAAGAAATCATAAATAAATAAAATCAATCAATTAATCATTGTATTAGGAGGGAGAGTACCAACGTCCATTGTTTGATGGAAGAATTGATCAATAAATCAATCAATTATTACAGGGTGGCCAAAATGTACGGATTATACGGATTTTTTTTAACCCTAAAATTGTACGGATTGAACGGATTGTACGGATTTTTTTTCAAATTGTACGGATTGTACGGATTTTTATCCTGGAAATACACCATTTTTTAATTTTCACTAATTTCAGCAAATTTTTCATGAAAATTTTTAAAAAAATTCTCGTCAAAATGAAGTTAGTTTAACTTATTTTCTGCATTCTAAATTATATTAGATTGATTAATGTTT